GTAGCGCATTGATCCGCTCGAGCGCGTGGTGGTCGTTGATCACGGCACGGTGGCGTCGCGCGACGGACCAGAGGAGTAAGTATTATAAAAGCTCGTGTCCATCCGCATTCTCGAAACAGCCGTCTGCGGACATCATGGCCAGCACCGCAGTACTACTGGGCAGGTATTCATCGCAATCCGCGGAACCGCTGCATGACCGTCGCAATAACAGGGTCCCCATCAACGGCGGGGTTGCAATCGTACTCGACAAATCGGACTTGTGAGTACCTAATATTATTTTATAATTATATTTATAAAACACCATGAGAAGTGTTTTCCGCCAAAAAATAATATTTATTTGAAAAAAATAAATGTCCGAATTAAATTGCTCAAGCATTTTTAGGTTTTAAAATTTTGATTACAAATTACAATTGAATAGTATTATATATTAATATGATGTTTTTGTTACTTACATAGATTTAGCGTGTCTCCTATTTGTCCAGGACTGGCCCTCTGTGGTGCTCTATCCATTTATACGGACAAAGAAACTGTGGCCGCACTCCGGCCTACGTGCCTGATCAATTGCGCAGGCGAACTTCCCGACACGCCGCTACCTGACACGGTACACAGGTACCATAAGGTACCGGTGACAGACACCGTGGTTACCGACCTCGGGCCACACATGGACACGGTGACCGATCTCATACACCAGGTATAATATATCATCTAAATAAAACGTATTTGATATAAATAAATAAATAGATAAATAAGTAATACAATATGCTTACCTGCCCTTATTAATTATTATTCATATATTGACTGGCATATGAATTATTTTCAACTATTAACTAACAGACCAAAACACCCTCCAACCTTTGTACAATTTAAAGTTATTTCCATATACCCATCTAATATTTATGAATGTGTGCAATGTTCGGTGCAYTAAACTATGTTCAGCACTCCAGCTAGAGTATTAGTAAATGTAAAATACAATTTACAGTACATTATATTGTTATTCTATAATTTATCAAGCATAGATATAATATTTATAACACCTATCAAAAAAAAACTCGAAATTATTATAAGAGGATTTCACGTCAATATTTTTTGTGTACGATCTTAAATGATAATATTTTAAAGGCATTTTTATTTTATTTGTATATACCATATTCTAAAAATAGAGTTATAACCATTTGRATAATATATGAATGCCGAATGGGATTCCAGCCGGATACCAAATTAATAAGTTTATATTACCTATAGAGCTAATGAGTGTACATTTCTTCAGTATATACGATATCTCCAGATGACTTATGGGGCACATCCATACAGTTATAGATAATATATGCATAATATTATAGATTTATTAACTTTCAATCAAATTAATAATAAAAACAATAATATATAATATTCTGCAACAATATTGAAATAAATCCTCTRTATTAAAACAGCATTGTTAATTACCTATGTAAATGTAATAGTGCAAACTATATACGACAATCATTTTACGTATTTACATGATTTAGTAGGTAAATTTATTCATTTAAAAAATGTTATCCAAAAAGAAACTAATTTAGTCTTTCAAAGTATGATATAAAAAACATAGTTACATATAAGTACTTACTACTTAGTAATTTTACCTTTGTAAAGAATTATCATTAAATACATTAATAATTATTTTTTGTGTAAATAATTAATGGACAGATTAACAAACAAAAACAACTATTGGCCAGTGGCGACGCTAGGCATGGGCGATGTGGGCCATTGCTCACGGCCTCGCGTTCTAAATGGCTTTTTAATTAACCATAGAGGAATATGGGAGAAGTATCTATATACAAATTATTGTATCTATAAAATTATTTTATCGAAAAATAAAAATCATAGATATAATAATTACATAGATACCTACGTGGGTACTCGTCAATAATTAATCATATTGGAATACATTTTTGTACCAATGTAGTAATTTTTTGTTACTATTGTACCTATATTGAAAATACTCTATATATGAGCGTCAGTTAAAATTTGAAACATGATTTATTATTTCTAAAAATCATAGGACAATTTGACAGAAACAGTAGTATTAAACTATTAATGTCTAATAATGGTTGTTTCTTGGAATTCCTCCATGTATAGTTAACACGTATATTATTGTTGCTTAAATAATGTTTACAAAAAAATTTTTAAAAAAAGCCTCTTTAAGTCTACTTCACCCACATATAAATTTTACCTCACCCCACCACTAATATTGACAGTAAATTGTATATGTTATTRAGTTGATACTTAAGAAACATTATCAAATAAGTTTAAATGTTAACCCTCTCATTTATTTTATATAAATATTTATTCAATCATAAAAACAGGTGTCTAATTAAAATATAATATAAATTATAAAAGTTACCTAAACGGATATATGTATATATAAACTAAAAAATGTACACATACTTCATACTTGAAACATTTGCGAGTATSGAATATAGGCCAGGGTACACGTAGGATTTATCGCTTGGCGCCCATCCCGGTATGCAATTCCTATGGTCTGTTAGCCCGTCAAACAAGCATGAAAGAAAACGCACTGAAAACCGGAAAATAAGCTGTTGTCATTTTAAAACAAAAATGGCTGTCAACGGTATTTTGAAAAGTTTCTGCCAGAAACTTTAAAAAATTAAAATCAAGAGGTGGATATTTATAGGATTGCTACTAGTAAAAAACAAACATTGTGTGTATTTATAAATTAGTACGAAGAATGGGCAGGTAATACTTGTACGTCAGCTTAATTTAGAAGTAAACATCAGACATGTGCGCAATATGGCTTTTAAAGCGGTAACTGTAAGAAACGGAAAGTTCTATTTCCGTTTTTAATGTTTTTACTTATTTTTAACTCTGAAAGTCTGAAATTACAAAAAAAATATTATTAAACTAAATAAACATAATATTAAATATGTTAATAATTATAATTAATAACACATTTACACATTCGATATTTTTTATTTTGTTGTAGGAATATATTTCTGGAGGTACGACAATAATACATTGTGCAGCTGGAGTAAGCAGATCAGCTGCTTTTTGCATTGCATACTTGATCAAATATCGTGGTATGACTATGAGTAATGCATATCGTCACGTAGCCAAATGCAGACCTTGCATAAATCCAAATACAGGATTTATTAGTCAGCTAATAGAATTCGAAGGCAAATTTAGAGAGGAATAGCAGTGAATAAAATAATTTTTATAATAGACAATAACCATTCCAAACATAAATTACTATTGTTTTGTATAGCTAGTAGTGTAAGCATTTTAAATGTTTTAATTCCTTTAGAATTATAATGTTCGTTTAAAATTTTAAAATTATTTGATGTTATAATATGTCTATTATTATTGTATGTATTATACTTAATAGGTTATAGATACCTATATGTTATTTATTTTATGCCTAAAGTACTTTTTATTTATGATAAAAAATTATGTAAATATTCAAAATTTAAATAATCTAGAATACAATTGCATGTCCATTATGTACCTATAATACAACTATAGTATTTYTTATAACCTTCATAGTTCGTTTCATATTTCACATGAACGAAACTTTTACGTCATACTAAAATA